GACCCGCGCCCGGCCCCGCCCAGGGCCCCGCCCCCAGCTCTCCCTGGGGTCGCGACCCCGGACCTTCTCCACGGCTGACCTTACCCGGGATGGGGTCTTGGAGCCCCCGTCTCCTCCCTACTCCAACCTCCTCTGGACCCAGCAGCGCAGCATCTTTGGTCTGGACTCTGAATGTCACCCCGCCTCCCCCTTGACTTTACGGCCTGGGGACCTTCCGCATCGTGCCCCTTCCCCTAGTGAAAAGCCTCCTCCACAGGGTGTGGTACCTGTAATCACAGCACTCTGGGAAGCTGAGGCAGGAAGATTGCCACTTTGAGATCGGTCTGGGCAATTTAGCGAGACACTATCTCATAATTTTAAAAAATTATATTAATATATTCATATATGTGTATATATGGATGTAGCTCAGTGTGAAAGCCCTGGGTTCAATCCCCAGCACCGAGAGAGAAAAACCACCCTGAGGAGCGCTCCAGCCCCTGAGCCGCGGCCTTCTCGCTTTGGCCATCTCCTCCAGAGGCGGCCTGGGGCCCGCTCTCCCCAGTATGTCTCCGTACATCTGTCCCATGCTGGGTGACCGCACCCAGCAGGATACAGAAGCCCTCGATCTCTGGGAAAGCGGGTGTGAGTTCCAGCTCTCTTGGCCCTGTCGCCTGTTCCCAGCCCTGAGCTCCGGCCCCGGGCCTGAGGTCCTCGCTGGGGAGACCCGAGCAGGACCAGCTGCTGTGGGGGAGGGGCACAGGAAAGCAGCAGATGGACCTTTTAGGCCCCTGCCTGCATCTTGCTGCAAGAAATCGCACACACACCGCCCTGACACGCCCCCTGCGCCCAGCTGTCCGCTCTGTGTGGTGGCCCAGCCCTGCCTGACCCCACGCCAAATCGCCCCCCCTTCCCAGCGCTGCCCCGGCTTTGGGCTGGAGTGGCTCCAGCACCCTGCTGCCCAGAGTGTCTGCGCCTGGCGCCGCGCCCAGACTTCCGGCACAGGTTAGCTGGCTGGCAGGCGGGCTGGGGACACAGTGCCAGCCCTCCCTCTTGTCTGGAAAATCTGGCACAGTCGCACCCCTTCCAGTTGTCCAGACTTCAGCCTTGAGCACCCGCCGAGCTGGCTTTGGTGTGGCCCCATTTGATCTGCTGGGGGCCCTGTCCAAGATTAGGGGCAAGTGGTGGTGGGGCACTGAGACTTGCTGGGTGCAGGGTGAGCCGGCCGGGTGGGTCATGGGTCTGGGCCGGTGGGGAGGGGCGAGGACGGGGAGCCACAGCTCCTGCCGCAGAGGCCCCAGCGCCTCGCCTGCATCATCCACTGAGAGCTGTTAGATGGTAGCCTGACAAATGAATGGAAATGAATGTGTGTAATCCCAGCACTCTGAGAGGCTGAGGCAGGAGGATTGCCTGTCCAAATCAGGACTGCCAGGGCACAGGGGGGTGAGGGAGGGCTTCAGGGGCCAAAGTGGTGCAGACTGCAGATGAGGCCAGAGCAGGAGGCCTTGAATGCTATGGTGTGCAGCCAGTGAGGGTTGGGGGTTACAGTTACAGGCCTTCGTCTGAGAACCACTTATTGAGCACCCACCCCGTGCCATCCTGGGAGCTGGGAGGTGGCAGGACACAGAAAGGCAAAAGTCTACGCCCTCACAGAGCCTGAGGGTGGACAGAAGAAACGTTGTCATGGTCATGCTGGGTTGTAGGGCAGAGGGGAGGGAAGGGGAGGCAGGGACTCCTGGGGTGGCAGGGAAACCAATTCTACTGCATTTTACTTTTAAAAGTTTATTGACTGAGGATTGAATCCACAGCCTTGGCACTGAGTTACATCCCGAGGCTTTTATGAAAATTTTCATTTTGATAGCCATGGTGGCACACACCTGTAATCTCAGCACTTGGGAGGCTGAGGCAGGAGGATTGCTGAGAATTTGAGACCAGTCTGTGCTACAACAGTAAATTCAAGTCCAGCCTGAAGTACACAATTAACTGCTAAGTTGCCCTGGCTGTGCTTGTATGTGTGATTCTCCTGCCTCAGCTTCCCAGAGTCCTTGGATTATCAGCATGTGCCCACCCTGCCTGCTCCAAATTTTAAATTAGATGGTTCAAGAGGGCCTTGCTGACTGACAAGGTGGCACTTGAGCAAACATCAGAAGGAAGTGCCAGGTGCAGTGGTGCATGCCAGTGGTCCTAGGGATGCTGAGGCAGGAGGATTGCAATTCAGGAAGCCCTTGTCTAAAATCAAAACCAAAAAGGGCCGTGGATGCAGCTCAGTGTGGAGACCTTGGGTTTCGTCCCCAGTATGTGGTGGGGAAGGGAGGTGAGGGTTGAGTCCATGGGTATCTGGGGGAAAGAACATTTGGGCAGAGGGAACAGGTTGTGCAACAGCCCTGAGCTTGCCGGGGGTGGGGGGGAGGTGAGGAGGCCCGGCGAATGGTGGGCGAGGACAGGGCAGGGTGAAGGGAGTCCAGGTACGGTGCGGGTCCTGGGAGGCCTGCAGGTGACCTCAGCCTTTGGTTTTTGCTCCAAATGGTGGGGGCCATGGAGGTTTTGAGCAGAGGGGGATGTGGCTGGCAGTACTGAAGATGGGACCCAGGGCCTTGGCCCTGAACTACAACCCCAAACCTTTTGTTTTTTGATTTTGAGGACAGAGTCTCCCAAGTTGTTAAATTACCCAGGATGAGCTCAGACTTGAGATTCTCCTGCCTCAGCCTCCCAGAGTGCTGGGATTCCATGCTTAGATCATGTCTGGCTTGAACATAGATGGTTTTCCAGGCAAGGGAAGAACGTCCTCTTGAGAAGGGAGGAGGACAACTGAAGGCTGCTTTGGTGTCCAGACAACACTGCAGGCTCTGAAGGCAGGCAGGTCCAGTCAGGCTGCAGAGCAAGGGCAGGGGCACTCCCTCACCTCACGGGGCTCGGGTTGACTTGAATTCTGAAAAGTGTGCACTCCTGGTACAGCATTAAGCAGCAGACAAGGTCCTGAACCAGAAGCCAGGAACTGTGCCCGACTTCAGGCCTGGTGACCTGACATCCAGGACAGGAGGGTGTGCAGATGGGACAGGTGGCGTTTGAGGGTCCACCCCAACGTCCGGGGGAGACACCTGATGGCCTGTGCAGAGCTAAGGTGGACGCGGCCTGCAGACATGAGGGTCGGGGTGATGTGGTGGGAGCTGTGTGTGCGTGTGTCTGTGTTCACACCCTGGCGGGCTGTGAACGGTAGCAGGGCCGGCTGTCCTCATTACATACCTACTCCCCCCAATTTTTTTTTGTACTTAGGATTGAGCTCAGATCTTCACAACTGCTTCTGGACTCCTTCATGTTGAGTGAGGGTCTTGCTAAGTTGCTGATTTGCCCAGGCTGGACTCAGACTTGGGATCCTCCTGCCTCAGCCTCCCCCAGTGCTGGGATTACAATCCTGGGCCACCCCACCCGGTTCTTTGATATAGACAACTGGAGGATAAGTGCGCTATAAAGTCCTGTTCCTGTGCCAGGCAAAAGGGCATCCTGGAGTCCTAATACTGGCACCTGCCCCCACGTCCATTTGTCCAGGACGCTGAGCTTTCCTCAGTACCCGTGCAGGCGACACCAGGGACCTCACTATGGCTGTGTCCTTCCTGACTGGCCCAGCCCACCTCCTGGAGGCTGCCTCCACCCACCCTCTGAGCTTAAGCCTGGGAGGAGGGTCACAGCAGGGGCTGCAGGACCAGCAGCAGTGGGCACCCCTGGGGCATCTTTCCCTGCCCCCCTACCCTTCCCCTGCCCCTGCCGGCGACTGCTGGCCCCTCCCTCCTACATAGCACCTCTTCCAAGAATTCACCCTGAACACCACAGGGCGAGTTCGGGGTTTCTTCTGTATGCTCTGTGTGGTGGGAATTGAACTCAGGGCCTTTGCACAGAGCTACATCCCTTGCCCTTTCTTAATTTTTATTTTGAGACAAGGTCTCACTAAATGGCTAGGTTGGGTTTGAGCAGGTAGTCCTCCTGCTTCAGCCTCCCAGAGTGCTGAGATCACAGGCATGCACACTTAACCGCCATATATTTTTATGGTCTGTGGTAGATAACCCCCACCACCTTAGGGTCAGGACACCTGCAACAGGATAGTAGCCAGGTCCTGTCTCATTAATCTCCAGCGCTTGCAGAATGACGAACATTTGCCCACTTGTACGATCAAGTTTCCTATAAAGGGGCCCTGAGACAAAAGCTGGGCACTGGGGAGCCCTCAAGGCCTTGGGTGCAGTTGGAGGAGCCCATTAGCTCCTGATGCTGAGCGCTGCTGCCACCTGCTGGTCAAGGTCGGTGTTGCAGCCTCCCCCTTGCACCCGTGCACTGGGGCTGGGATGAAGTCACCACCTGTGGCCCAGAAGCCCGCCAGCCACAGGGAGAGACACAGTGACCACGAAAGACAATGACAGAAACAAAAGTGCTCTGGAGCACGAGGAGGACGAAGCTTTCCTAGCATTCAGGAACAGCACAGTTCCTGGGGCACAGGTTGGGGGTGCACCATGGGCTGTTCTTTGTGTGTTTCTGAGACAGGGTCTCCCTATGCAGTTCAGGCTGGCCTTGAGCTCACTTTGTTGTCCAGGCTGGTCTCAAACTCACAATGATCCTCCTGCCTCAGCCTCCCGAGTGCTGGCGTGTGCCACCACGCCGTTTTTTTGGTTTTTTTAGACAGGGTCTCCCTATGCAGTCCAGGTTGGGCTTGAACCCACTACATAGCCCAGGTGGGCCTCAAACTTGTAGTGATCCTCACCCCTCAGCCTCCAGAGTGCTGGGATTGCAGGCCACCACACCCAGTGTCTTAGTTTCTTTTCCTGCTATGAAAACAAAATACCAGACACCCAAAGTGAATGGAGGAAAGGTTTATTTAGCTCAGTTTGTAGAGGTTTTAGTCCACACATGGATGGCTCCAAGGCAGGGTGACCTGGCAGAGGATAGTTCACAGCACCCACAAGGAGGCACGAGGGGCATCAAGAGCATTTTTCTATGTACACCTGTAATCCCAGCACTTGGGGAAACTGAGGCCAGCCTGGGCTACAAAATGAGTTCAAGGCCAGCCTGAAATGCATGGTGAAACCTTGTCTCAAGAAGACAAAACAAACCAAAAGGTCAGAAAAATGCTTTTTTTTTTTTTTTGAGGCAAGGTTTCACTTTGCAGTTCAGGCTGGCCTTGAACTCACTCTGTAGCCCAGACTGGCCTCAAACTTAACAGCAACCCTCCTGCCTCAGTCTCTGGGTGCTGGGATTACAGGTGTGTGGCACCACATCCGGCTCTTCTGTCCTTTGTATCTTATCCAGACTACTTACAGCAGGTAGCACTCACACCCTTAATCTTAATGCCCTTGATCCTAGTATTGCAGCTTGATGAATCAATCCCAGCATAGCACACTGTAGATCCAGCCACCTCTGAAGAAGCCCCACCTCTGACTGCATGAGGCTTTGGGGGGTCACCTAGACCCAAGCCGTGACAGCCAGCATACCCGCTGTTTTGGCCACAAAGTCCAGCACCCAGGGGCCCAGCTCCACATTAGTCTGAAACTGTCACCTCACAGCCCCACCTGAGGCCTGGCGCACTCACCCCAGGAGGGAGGCAGTGGGTGTGGGAGCAGGGGGAAGGGGTCCTACTTGGTGTGACATCCAACATGGCACTTTGGAATAAAATTCTTTATATGCCTGAATATAAATCTTTTTCCTAATAACACGAAAAGAAATTTTGTCTAATATTCTAATTCAAACTTTCAGGTGGAGATGAGCAATCAACTCCCTACTTAATAAGTATTGAAATTTTAAATATTTAAAACCACATTATTTTAGCCCAGGCTGGTCTCGAACGCGAGAGGATCCTCCTGCCTCAGCCTCCCAAGTGCTGGGATTACAGGCGTGCACCTAATTGCCCAGCTTAAACCACATTATTTAGAAGGAAAATTTTATGTGGAAACAATACTTTTCCACTCATGGTCTTGAGTTTATTCAAAACTACCACTTCTATTTCTGCCTTCCAATATCACCGTCACAATCATGTGTCTTTAGACAGGCATGGCGGTGCACCCCTGTAATCCCAGGACTTGGGACGCTGAGGCAGGAAGATCGCCGTTAGTTCAAGGCCAGCCTGTACCACATATGGAGACCCTGTCTCAAAAATCATGTCTTCCCTAGCCCCTGCTTCAGGTTCCCTAAGTTTTCTTGAACTTTTAACTATAAACAAAGCCCCCCGCTTCCTTTTTCTTTTGAGACACTGTCTTGCTACGTAGTTTCAGGCAGACCTTGAACTCACTACGCAGCCCTGGCTGGCCTTGAGCTCTAGACAATCCTCCTGCCTCAGCCTTACAAATGCGGGGATTAGAGGGATGTACCATCAGGGCCTGCATCAAATTTCTGAACCTCTGAACTGACAGCACTATTTCAAGTCCTGAGCATAATTAGGATGTTATTTTTCATCTGGGTGGGTATTTGGGGTCTCCCTAGGGTAACCACAGAATTGTGTGAAACAGCTCTTTCTGGTTCTTCCACGTTCCCTTTCCCTGCTTGACTTCTCTCCACGGCGCTCCTACCCCCTGCTGATTGAACCCAGGGCCTTGTGCATGCCAGGGAAGCTCTAACACTGAGTCACAACTGTGCAATGCACACAATTCTATTGTTCCAGTTGTGCAACTGTAGTTCAAGACAGAGTTTTGCTACATTGTCCATGTTGGCCTTGAACTTACGATCCCCCTACACAGCACCCACCTGGCAAGTGCAAGGTCCCGAGTACCCCCGTACTCCCCTCCTCCCGCAAAAAAAGGACTGGCATTGGCAGGAAACCTGCTGACAGCTCCAGAGTCAACCAGGAGCTGTCACAGCAGGAGCTTCCTGGAGGGAGCACTTAACTGTTTGGGAGTGCCTGTAATCCCAGCATTCTAGCTAGAAGGCTGAGGCAGGAGGATCCCAGAGTCCCACCCTAGCAATTCAGTGAGACATCGCCCCCAAAAAAGAGAGATAGGGAAGGTCGCACCCCTGGGTTGACCCCCAGTAACAAACACACAAAGACACACGTGCACACACTGCTGCAAAGGCTTCCCAATGGTGACGAGTCCCTTTTACGTACTTTATGTCACTCAGCGTCGGAGACCACTCTCACAATGAATGCTGGACCTGTCAGAGGTATTAGGAGCAAGCGTGTAGGGGCAGAGATTCAAGATCTCAGGAGGAGTTGGCCAGGAATAAGTTTCCGTCCATGCCAGGCACACGCCTTTAATCCCAGTTACTCAGGAGGCCGAGGCAGGAGGAGTCCCAATTCAAGGACAGTCTGCATAACATATCCAGTCTCTGTCTCAAAATAAAATCGGGATGTAACTGGGCATGTAACTGACCACAAAGGCCCTAAATTCAATCCTAGTCATGGAAAACAAAAAACAAACTTTCCCCTTGCTTCCTGCTGAAGCCAGGTTAGAGCTGTGTGTGCAGGATGCCACTTAAGGTACCAGGGTGCCACACCTTGGCACCTCTCCTGCAAGCCAGGATGCAGCACCCCCTGGGGGCGAGAAGAGGTGAGGACAAGCCTTTAAGTGCAGGAAGGAGAGGCTCACTTGCTCCTGCTCCTTGCCCTGGGGCGGGGCTGCCGTTGTGGGGGCCCTCCCTGGGGAGTGTCACACCTGGGAGGGCAAAGGGCCACAGCGTCGGCTGCCACACCCACCAGGGAGAGTCCTAGTGACCAGTCCAGCCTCTGCGCCCAGGCCCCCGGGTAAGTGTCCTGAACCCACTCGCCCTGTCCTTCCCTGGGGGCTGGGGAGATCCCCTCCCTCTGTGGATGCGGACCCTCTGACCACTCCGCTGGCTCTCGGGGCAGGCAGCAGCCGCCCCTGCCCGCTTCTTGGTATGGTCCGAGGCCCCTGATGTACTTTCCGGTAGGCCAACCACACACTGGGCACAGAACACAGGTGCAGCCTGCCCCAGGCTCCTCCCCTCCTGATACCTGCATCAGGGTCGAGGTCAAGGCGAGACACTTCAGCCCTCCTTCCCCGTCACCTGACGGAGCTCAGAATCCCCTGGAGCGCTGGGGGCCAGGCAGCCAGAGCCCTCGCTGGACCAGGTGCTCCAGGAGCGGGATGAAGCCCTTGCCAAGTGAGAGGCGGCTGGGGAGGGCAGGGGAGGCCGGGGAAGGCGCAGGCTCATCCACAGGGCCCGCCCTGCTGGAGGGGAGGCGGGAGCCAGGCATCCCTGGAGGAAGACCACCCGGGCCCTGAGCCTCAGCTGCGACCCCTGGGCCTGCAGGAAGCAAGCGGTGGAGGCCGAGCTGGACACATGCAGGGCCAGGCTGTGTGCTGTAGAGGCCCAGCTGCTGGAGGTCCTGGAGGAGAAACTGAGGCTGAAGCAGGAGGTGGAGGCCTGGGAGGTAGGATGGGGTGCGGCCGGGCCTGGGGGTGGGGGTGAGGCTGGACCAGCTCTGACCCTGCTCTCCCGCCCCAGGAGGACATGCAGCAGCTGGTGGCGAAGCTGGTGCAGAGTCAGCTGCAGAGCGAGGCACGGGATGCACCGGGCACCCACGGGGATGCTGGTGCTGCCAGGAGCCTCCGGACCCAACTGCCTCGGGGTCGGCAGGGCCGATGGTGGTGAGAGCCCGGCCCAGGACTTTGGGGGCACCATCTTTATTCATTAAAACTGGAGGGCTGACTTTCTCTGCACCTGGATGCCCGCTGAGGGGCGGCCTGAGTCCTTGTGTGTGGAGTGATGAAACCAGGATGGGCCACGTGAAGCCCAGGGTCTCCTGGCCCCACTAGCAGGGGCACCTCTCAGGTCAAGAAGCCTCTCACAGCGGCCACGAAGTCCTGTGGGCGGTCGGCATGGACCCAGTGGCCTGCGTTAGGCACAGTCTGCATCTGTGCTCGAGGGAAGAGCCGCTTCATCTCAGGGTGGTGGCTGGGCCTGTCCCCCGGAGACGGTGTCCAGGACGAGTCAGTGGGTGACAGGGAGACAGAGAGGCAGGAGGAGGGGAGTGGGAAGAGACGGAGAATCATGAGCCTGGGCGCTCGGCATTTCCGGCGCTCTCAGGCACCCCGTCCATCCTGCCCGCGCTCAGTCTGGCTTACTTACTGCACGAATGCAGAGTCCCCACCAATGAGGAAGAGGGTGGGGCCGGAGTAGGACTCTTGGCGCTGAGGGAAGGTCAGGACCTTGTCCATGTGCTGGGCCAAGGCGTCCAAATTCACCCTCCAACCAAAGCGCCCATCGACCTCCACCAGGTTGGTGAGCAGGAACTGCCGTACAGCCAAGTTCTGTGGTGGTGGTGGGGTGCGGCAGTTAGGGGGGCTCCTTGTGAGGCCCGGGCCACCACCCCTCTGCCCCTGACAGGCAGGTCCTAGTCCACACCACTGCGGGGGAAGGCGTGGGCGTATCACCTGGACAACACCGCTGAGCTGCTCATCAGCCAGTTTCCGGGCACAGGAGCGGGGCAGACCGTCTGGGATGTCTACGGCCTTCATGGCGGCCACGTAGGTAGAGAAATGTGACAGGGAAGTGTGTGCCACTGGGCTGATGTCCACAGGGATCAGACGGTCCACCAGCTCGGGCTGCGGGAGGAACAGGGAGGAGGGACTGGGCGCGGGGCAGGCACAAAGGGTGTGGAGTCCCAGCTTACCAGCTGGGCACCCAGGGTCTATAGTGGATGGCAGGGGTGCCGGTCAGGGTGCTTACCCTCTGCAGGGCCAGCAGCATGGCCGTCTTTCCTCCCATGCTGTGGCCGACCAGGACGCAGGGTGCCAGGCCCAGCTGGGGCAGCAGGTGCTGCAGGTCCTGGCTCATGGCCTCATAGCTCACATCCGGGCTGTGGGGGCTGTCGCCATGGTTCCGAGCATCCACCGTCAGCACCTGGGGAGCCGGGGGAGATGGGGTGGTACTGGCACCTGCATTCTCGGTGGAGACAGAGCCACAGGCCTGGTAGGGACTGCAATGGGGAGCACCGAAGCGTCTGGGGTCAGATCCTGATGAGGGCAAGGGGCCGGGGCCCGGACCACTCTGCCAGAAAAGAGAAGCCCCGGGGTGCGAGCACGTACGTATCTGAAGGTCTGGGCTGCTTAGGTGGCAACCCCGGAGAAAGCCGGGAGAGTCCAGGCCTTTCCAACAGCCGGAGTGCGGGTGACAGTTAAGAGGTGGTGAGCTCCCTGCCGTCCCTTCCTGGGGAGGTGGCTGCTGGAGGGTAGCTCTGTGTGGAGCAGGCAGGTGGAGATCTATAACGGGAATGAGGGACTGGATAGGTGGCAGTGTGTGGGAGTACGAATGGAGTCTATGTGGAGTCTGGGTCCGCTCTTGTGGCCTCTGTCCCTGGAAAGAACCCCCATCTCCCCCGTCCCCAGGGCCTTCCAGCCGAGCTACATCCTCAGCCCATTTTTACTCCTTATTTAAAAGTCACTAAGCTGCCCAAGCAGGGCTTGAACTTTTGATCTTCCTGCCTCAGCCTCCCAGACAGCTGGGATTGCAGGCGTCCCCCACCATGCTGGGCTCTCCTTTCACTCTGCTGCGAGGTTACTTTAAACTGACCCGCCTCTTCCCAGCCAGGCCTCTTCCCAGGCCCCGCCCCCCAGCCCCGCCCCGTCAAGCTCACCCTCCGGCCCGTCTGCTGTGCCAAGGCCTTGGCGATGGAGTTGAAGTTGGTTTTGCTGCCGAAGAGTCCGTGCAGGAGAACGATGGCCGGAAGGGCCGCTTCCCCATCCAGAAGCTTGTAGGACAGCGGCAGCGGCCTGGAGAGAGGGGTCCAGGATGGGGAGGTGTCCAGGGGGAGCCTGGAGAGCCGCCTAGAAGAGGGCGGGGCCCAAACGAGCAGCGCAGCGGGGGAGGGGTGCACAGCCTCCCGTCCCGGCGTCCTTGCCTGACCTCGACTCGGCGTCCCCTCGGTCGCTGACGCTGCTGCTCCTGAGAGCTTTGGGCATTCTCGACGAGCTGGGTCTGCAGGGGTTCAGCGCCCCGTGGAGGGACTTGCAAGCACTGGCCCAGCGGAGCATAGCGGCGACCAGCGACCACGCGCACCGGCCCAGCGACGTCCTACGCACGCTCCGCCTCCCGCGCTCGCCAGGAGTCCCACCCATTTCCGCTCAGAGCTCCGCCCCTCTCTCCTACGGAATCTCCGCCCACCTCGTCCGCGCCCCCAACAAGTGGCCTTACGCAATCCCGGAAAACAGTACGTCCCTAGCCCCGCCCCTGCGCCATTGCGTAATCCCGCAGCTCCGCCCCGCCGCTGTCCCGCTGCCGGCCACGCCCCGGGCGGAGCCCCTCTCGCCAGGTTCTGGCCACGCCCCTTTCCTCAGCTCTAAGGTGGGGAATGAAGTCCACGCTGCTGCGGTGCAATTGGTCCTGGAAGTGGGCTGCGGGGCGGGGTCTTGTGCCCAGCCCCCGCCTGGCCTGGCACTGCCCTGGGCGGGTACCATGCTTTGTGTGCGGCCGGCACGGTCGACAGGCGCCAGGAGTGGCTCTAGTCGGGGCGCCAGCGTGGTGGAGCCGTGCTCCGCAGCTGGAGGCCCTGGTAGGCTCGACGGAGCAGGGCGCCTGACCCCCACCTAGGTCCCCTCTGGGGAAAGCGAGGAGGGGCTCCAGAGCCCCCTCCACCCCTTGCGCCCCTTTACAGATGGGGAAAGGCCAGCGACCGCAGATGAGCGGACAGTCAGACTCCGGGTGGGTGACTGCGGAGGCGAGTCACCCCCGCGAGGTGTTTGTACTGCTGGGCTCACTTGCTGGGCTGCCCCACGGCCCAGGTCAGCTCCCCGCTCAGCACAGAACCGTCAGGCCCTGGACGCAGCCCCTGCGGGAAGCCGTGTCCCTCAGGAGCCCCGGGGCATTCTCCTCCTCCGGGCGGGGTTGTTGGGGTCGCAGCAGACCCCAGCCCTATTTTTATTTTGAGGCAGGATCTCACCAAGTCATTAAATTGTCCAGGTTGTGCTCAAATTTGGAATCCTCCTGCCTCATCTTCCCAGAATTCTGGGATTATAGGCACGTACCGCCTCACCACGCCTGGCTCTGTCTCTCCCCGTGCTGTGTCTTTCTCCTTAGGTAAAATGGAAGAACTAAAGCTAGGCAGAAAGGAGGCGAGGAATATGAGAATTCTAAAATTGTACTTTTAAGAAAAACTGCAGCCTTGGGACACAAAGTTATTTAAGCTTTTTTCCTTTACAGGAAATTTTTAAAAAATTCCTCAAACGCTTAAGGAGTGTAAATTGGGCTGTAGGTCTGTGCTTTTGGCCTGTAAATTACACTTCCTCCCATACACAGTACGTCCACCTTCGAGGAAGCAGCAGCATTAGTGGGCAGCAAATCACAATTCCAAACACGTGTCAGTGGGTGGCATTCTGACACAGCTCTCCAGATGGCTTAGTTATGTGACAGACAGTAAGCATACACATCCCAGATCATCCTTCTTGCCTGGAATTCAGGGCAATCTTCCTGCCTCAGCCTCCTGAGTGCTGGGATTACAGGTATACATCACCACACCCAGCTCCTAGATTACCCATTTTATTAATTTTTTTCTTTTTTTTTTTATCTTCTTGAGACAGGGTCTCACTATACAGTTCAGGCTTTGAACTCACTTTGTAGCCCAGTCTGGCCTCTAACTTGCAATGATCCTCCTGCCTCAGCCTCCCGAGTGCTCCGGGTTACAGGCATGTGCCACCACACCCAGTTTATTCACTCATTTTAATTAGTTAAATTTATTGGTACATTTATTGGTACATTTTTATCACATTCATCATAGGGAATTTGTACCTGTACATGATATAACTTGATTCTTTTTTCCTCATTCCTCTACTCTTCCTTCAACCCCTCTGCTCCTCATTTACAAAACCTTTGTTTGCTTTTTACCTTCTTTTCTCTTTTTCTTCTTTTCCCTTCCTTCCTTTCCCCCTCCCCGTCCCTGTCCCCGTCCCTGTCCCTAGTTCCCCCTTCCCATTTGAATGTTTTTTTCCTATTTCACAATATCTATTACACATTTTGGGCCTTATTTACACTTCTGGTTTCCCTCTTTTTTTTTTTTTTTTTTTTGCGGTACCGGAGATTGAACGCACGAGCTTGCACTTGCCAGGCAGGCACTTATGCCACTGAGCTATATCCCTAGCCCCACTTTTGGTTTCCCACACCAGAGAAACAATGCTGTATTTAAACATGTGTGTCTGATTTATTTCACTGAAGAGTATGGTCTCAAGATCTGTTTATGAGCACTGTCCCAAATTTATCTTTCTTTTTGGGGGGCGGGGGTGTTTTGGGGGGCGTTTCCGGTACCGGGAATCGAACTCACGACCTTGCGCTTGCCAGGCAGGCGCTGTGCTGTTGAGCTAAATCTTCAGCCCCCAAATTTATCCTTCTTTATGGCTGAGTAGTACTAGTAAAAAAAAACAAAAACAAACAAACAAAAAAAACCCCACATCTTCTTTATCCATTCAGTGGTTAATGAGCATTTGGGCTGTTTCCAAGATTCAGCTATTACAAGCTGTGCCACTGTAAACATGGGTGTGCATGTATCACTGTGGTATGATGCTTTTAATTACTTTAGGAAGATACCAAAAAGGGGAATAGCTGAGTTGAATGGAACCTCTAGCCAAGTTTTTTGAGGCTGGGTTGCCCATTTTAAAGAGACCTATGGTGGATTGACAACTGGTATGCAACTTGTAACACGTAGCTGAGCTGAATCAGTGTAGGGCTGGATGTGGAAGGCCCACCCTAGGGTTGTTGCCAAGAAAATAAAAAGGAGAAATGGAGGAGAAGAGGAGGTGCTGTTAGGGGGCTGTTGGTGCTGCTGGAAGGGCTTGTCATGCTGGCTTTCTTTCTTTCTTTTTTTTTTTTTTTGCTTTTTTTCCTGTACTGGGAATCAAACTCACAATCTTGTGCTTGTCGGGCAGGCGCTGTGCCATTGAGCTAAATCCCCAGCCCTCACGCTGGCTTTCTTGATATGAACTAAGCTGTTCTCATTGTCAGAGGAGCTCAGAGCTCAGGACCTGGCTGTCAGTGAGGATGGCCATGGCACTTTTCAGGGGAGCTCTGGTTCTTACTTTAAGGTCGCTGTCTGGCCAGTGCAGATTCCTCAGCCTGCTGGCACAGATCCTTCACCCCGCTGGCACAGATTTTCTAGCTTCCACCTTTGGGCCTTCCCAGCACAGGTCCATGAAACAGACCTGCATGAGACACTGTCGTGGCCTTCGGCCTCCAGTTGGACTCGTCGGGGGCGTTGTGATGGGCTCTAGGTCTTCAGCTGGACACTGCTGTGGGATCCAGGGCCTCAGCTGGATTCTTTGGGTCTCTAGTTTATGGACAGATTTCCTGCACTCTTTTGAACTTGGCTCTTTGGGTGGCTATTATAAAAATAATCTTGTAAATTATGTGTCCTGTGTTAAATTGTTTCCCTTGTGAATCCTGACTACAACACTCCTAAGCCTCCAAAATATACCCAGTTGCAGATCACAAGGGGCGTTTCTCTCTTGAGGGCTCATGCTCTTTTTTTTTTTTTTTTTTTTTTCCCTCTTTTTCCTTCTTTTTTGAGACAGGGCCTCTCTATGCAGTTCAGGCTGGCCTTGAATTTACTGTGTAGGCGAGGCTGGCCTTGAACTCACAGTGAACCTCCTGCCTCCCTCAGCCTCTGAGTCCTTACTTTCAAAATTTCTAATAAATCCCTTTATGCCTCTTAAGATGTATCCTGAAAATTTTTTCAGTGATGAGAATAAGCGAATGTGCTACTTAATTCTGGCAGGGTTGGTTTAGCAGCCTCCTAGGACCCTGTGTGGTGACACCCCTGGCGATGTAGTTAGTTGCAAAGTCACAGATTCAGGGCTCAGCGCAAGAGCCACTTTCTTCCCAATCCTTCCTGGATTTCCTGCCTTGAAACCACCCCAAGCTGTCTGCGCAGCCGTATAGAATTGGCCTCGCCTGTGTCCACCTGAGGCTGGGGACTCCCGCAGCGAGGCTAGGTTTCCTGCAAAGTGTAAATGATTTTAGGAATGCACGGGGGAAACTCGGCAGGAGGTTGTGGCCCCGCCCACCTCCCTAGCGCAGGGCTAAGGGCTGCTCCAACCTTGCCTGTGGGGACTCCGCAGTGCTTTGCTCCAATCTGAGGCCGCTGGGGAGTCTAAGCACACCAGGCAGTGTGACCATTTTGGCAACATAGTTAGTACAGGTGATGGGGACACCTGCGCCCTCCGTGCACCCGGCCCGAGACCCGGGGGGATGCTTCCTCCAAGGGTGTTTTTCTAGCTCGGAGGCTTAAGGGAGGAGAGTGATTCAGAAGCACAGTGAGTCAAAGGTGTTTTCTAGCAGCTCCTCTCCTGCACCGGCCTGGTGTCCCGCTGAGCAGCCTTGGGCCGGCCCGTGACCTTTGACCATCTGCACAGGAGCCCAAGGGCCCGGGTCTAGCTTAAGACATAAACGCAGAGTCCTGGGCCCTGGAGCTGTCACATGGCCGGCTATGCTGGCCTCGCAAGCAGAAAAACCAGTTGGTTTGAGGTTTCCGCGTGAACCCGCCCAGAGACAGCGGTGGGAGGGGCGGGGGAGGGGTCGCTGCTGCAGCCCACTCTGCCGAGGAGCTGGGGAAGCTTCGCCCCGGCTAGCTGGACAGGGAAGATGGGTGGGGCGGGGGTGCCAGCTGTGCCGTGGCTGTTGGGTGGGGACAGTCGCATCTGCGAAAGGGAGTGGGGCGGGGAGGGTGCGGAGAGCCCCTAGTCCGCTGGCCGGGGGTGGGGTGCAGAGTACACTGGGGCTCCCGTGTTCCCAGGAGCCCCTGATTCCTGAGAAGCACATCGCCCTCACTCTACCCATAAAGAATGCCGGGGTATAGCTCAGCAGGGGCTGCTGGGCAAGCACAAGGTCCTGAGTTCAATTCCCTGTGCCTCCCAAAAGAAAGACCGGAAGGAAGGGGCCCACGTGACCCAGCGCCAAGTCGCTGAGCCAGAGTGTGGCCCCGCCTGACTCTGTCCTTGGTCGGCACCTCCCAGCGCGGCGCTCCCTGCCTTCATCCCAGCCCTTCTGGCTGGGGCCTGAGGACACAAAGGGTGTGGTCTGCAGCAGCAGGGACGCTGTAGCCGGAGGTGGCGGTGTTGAACGGTGTTGAACGGGTTAAGGCGAGTGGGGG